GACGCCGCGCTGAGAGCTGGTGCCTGGACTGAGGGACGGCGAGGTGGGGAAGACTCGATTCACAGACTGGGGCGGGGAGGAGGAAGGGATCTGGCTGAACAGAAGCGAATACGCGACCTGGCCCGCCAAGCGTGACGTTGCGGGACAAAGGTCCGGAACCCCGCACACGTGCTCGCACTCCGGGCAGGGGTGGCGCGGGGAACAAAAATTCTCTCGCTGACTCCTGATTGGCCATCCCGAGGACCCGATTTGCATCCCACCTTCGGCCCTCACTCCCCACCCCCAGGCGTGCGCAGGTAGCGGCGCAGCCCCCCTCGCACTCCGCTGTGGGAGCTCCTCCTCCTGTCTCTACCCATCCGCCCTGCGCACAAAGCAAAACTTAGGGCCGACTGGAGCACAGGATCGCAGGCTCTTCACCAAGGACGTTTGATTTGTCTTCCCATCTTTGTCCCACTGGATTACGTAAGCGTGGAGATAATGTCCTTCTTCACGGAGAGCACTTCAGAGGTTCCCAGGATAGGGCAGTGGACGCCCTGACGTTTCGGAGCCCCTTCTCCCACCTCATCTCCTCGCTACCCATTCACCAGCGGGATCAGTAGTTTCCCCCCCACCCCCTCTCCCCTTCCTAAGGTGAGGAAGATCAAGGAGATCAACGTGAAATGCTGTATTTTAAAGCTTTTAGGCCAGTTGAGATTTTTGCCCTTTGTATTTTATTTTGTAATTTTTTTTCCTATTTCCGACCTCTTTGGGAGCAGTTGCACACCAGGTACCTCTCTTACTTTGCTGGAGCTTCACACTTCTTCAGCCACATCAGAACTTTCACATCAGACGCCAGGAGGATAGCGCTAAGGAAGCTGTTGCTTGCTTCTCCCAGGCCAGGCAGACCCCTGGAAAGGAGACTTAATGTGAATCACCTTTAAAAATTCCAACACTGAGGCGGATACCGCACCACCTCTGCTGTTTTACTTTCTTTTCCTGGGTGCCAAAGGTAGCTACTATGCTTTAAGAAAGGCAGATGATCTTACTTCAAAGGAAACCCATTGTTTGAACAAGTTGGGTCCTAGAATACTTTGAATTGTGCAGAGTTTAAAAACAAACATGAAGACACTCTAGGTGAGTTTCTCAAGATCATTCTGTTTCCAAATCTTGCCTTGCAAACTTCTCTAAAACTGGAGTAACTAAGATGTGAGTTTCCAGAAGCTCAAGAAATACCCAGGTTAAGTAGAAATCTGCATGGCTTTTTAATCCCCCCCCCCCGGGACTCTATCATACAGGCTGGCCTCAAACTTGAAGTTCTTCCTCAGTGTCCTGATTAGCTGGGATTATTTGCAGTTATATATGTCTTATTTTCTTATATATGTGTTCAACAACAAAGCAAAACTAGAAGAAATGAATATTAAATTGTATATTTGCTGGAATACATTTGTGATCTGTTAAAACTTAATGATATGTTCAATTAAGTTAAATAATACTCAAAAACACAGATAGCCAAAGAAAAATTTCATCCCCCCCCCATTAATACACAGTCCCTACCAAGCCTCTCCCAAGACCTTAATGTTCATTGTCAGGAAAGATTTGGCTAAGTGGCACAGAGCCCTTCTCTTTCTCCCATTGTTATAATTTACTTGTATATTTTCAAAGGCTTTAATAAGTCATTTGAGTAGAATTAACTAGAGTACCTATTTCTCCCAGCTGGCTATCAATGTTTTGAAAAGGAGAAATGGTTTCCTTTACATATCTTTTTCACATACATCACTATCTCATTTAATGATACACTGAATTGGTGTGGAAATTCTCAGGAAACTCCACAATGCTTTAAAAAGTGACTTCTGATGATATTTTTTTCTGATTTCAATTCCTTGATCCTGTGTTGCAGTGCTAGCTCTGCGCAGACAGCCACCATCAGCATATTTGGTTTACAGATAGAATAAATCGATGTGAGAAATGACATGTGAGAAACTTGGTACTCCAATTACCAGAGATTTACATGTGCAAATGAGGGTATCAGTCAAAAGGAATTGGACTCTGTATGTATCTGAAGGAAAACACTTGCCTAATTTGAAATTGAGTAAAGTATGTGCGGTAAAATGGAAGAGAAAAGGCCAGACTGTGGCATGTGTGTAACCAACCTTGAAGGAAAGAAAAGAACAGCTGGGAAAAATATGTTGGTTAAAATAGTTCACTACATAAGTCACCAGATGGTAGGTAGCACACCGGAGCATTGCTTTTGTATTCTCAGTGCAAGGAGAGGGAAGAGGTAAATAAGGAAGCATCAAGTAAGTGAAACCAACTGTTCTTATGCACAAGGTGTTCACATGTGACATTGTATAAGTCAGGTTGCTCTATAAAATTAACCTTGATGGCTGGAACCCTTCCTTATTCTCTTGATTGATTGGCACTGAGCCTCTCACAACATAAAGCTAATCTTAAATTCTTTCACCCCTAAAAAAAAAATCTTAAAATCTTGAAAAACAGATAAAGAATCCTTTCACTGAGTTGCATAATGCCCCAGGGACATTCACACCTAAACTGAGATCCAGACTTAAACTAGCTCTGTCTGCCCAGGATGGTGTAACAAGGACCAAATTTTAACTCTTACCTTAAGCAATTAGAAAAAAAAAATGTAAAAGAATGATTTTAGACCCTGAACAATAGGCAGCCTAAATTTGTGACACATAAAAGAAGAAAAACAAATAAAATGATCGCAAAAATTTCCCCAGTTTACTACCTGAAGGTAGGTCCAGACTTCAGAGTTGAGAAAGCAGCAAAGTGACCAGAACATACAAAGTGGAGTACCAGAGAGGGGTGGCATGCACAGAATGGAGTGTATAGTTCACTTATTTCTGCATAACAACCTTAACCATTTAAAACAACAAATACGTATCACCTCACATAGTTTATGAAGGCCGGTCATCAAGACTGCCTGAACTGGGAATTTCTGGCTCAGAGTCTGTCTTAGTTACTTTTGTCCATGCTGAGAGACAATACCCAACACCCAAAATTAAAGCATTTGTAGTGGTTTGTAGAGGTTTCAGTCCATAATCAGCTTGCTCCAAGGCATGGCACGGCAAAGGGACATCACAGAGGAGAAACGGTTCATGGCAGGCAGAAGGCAACAAGCAACAGATTTCTTTTTCCTGTCCTTTTATATTGTATCCAAGCCACTCAAGCTTAGGGCAGATAACACTCAAACCCAGGGTAGGGCATCCTTAATCCTAGCAAGAACTATACCAAACCAATCAGCAAACTAAGTTAGTAATCACAGATCCGTAATCCCACTGTCAAACACTCTAAATCCTGCCGATTCTGAAAAGCCCCACCTATGACCAAATGAGATTGTGGGTACACATCTAGACCCAAATTATGACAGAGTCTCTAACAAAGCATGGTCAAAGCTGTTGGCCAGGGCTATAGTTCCAGGAAACTTAACTGAAGATAGAAGTTCTGTTTTCCAACTTGCATGGCTGTTGCCAGGAATCTTACCAACTTTCTGCAGGGATCTCTTTGTAAGGCTGTTCACTAATGTGTGTCCCTCCAGAGTAAGTGATCTCAGAGAAGCCACCCAGACAGAAGCCAGAGTTGTTTTGTAATCTCACAAGTGACATGCCACCTCTTCCACCATATTCTCTTCTCTTCCTACAAAGGAAGTCACTAGGTTCAGCTCAAATTAAAGGGAGACATATTAAAGAATTTGTGTATGTATTTTTTAAATCATCACTTTTTTTTTTCTTTTTTGGTACTGGGGTTCAAACTCAGGACCTTGTGCTTGTGAGACAGGCGGCGGAACCACTGAGCTAAATCCCCAGCCCTAAAATCATCACTGTTTATCCTCAGCCATAAATTATTTATATTCCTTCCATATGCAAATTATACTCATCCTGTCCCAAGGCCCTCAAAACATTCATCCTATTAAATTAGCAGCTCAGGATCTAGAACCTCACCATCTAAATTGCTTCCAGGTTTGCATGAATGTCCTCATTATGTTTCATTAAGCAGAGCTCCTTGAATTCAGGTCCTTTTCTTTTGTAGACCTAAGAAACTAAAAGAGCAACATAGTTACCTCCTCCATACCCACAAACTGTGGAAGGGCTTTTTCCTTTCTAAATATCTTTTGAAGAGCAAATGTTTTCTTTTGTTAAAGTCTGGCTTGCTAAGTACTTTATAGTTTATCTTTTTGGCTTTCTAATTAAGAAATTGCTCCAGAACCAAGATAAAATCTTTATCTTCTACATTTTTCTCTAAAATGTTTAAAGGTAGTAGTATTCTTATGTTTCAGTCTGTGATCCATTTTGACTTATTTTTATAAGTAGGATAAGGGTCAAGGTTCACATTTTTATATGTGAACATCCAAAAGTGACCTATTGACTAAGAAAATAAGCATTAAATGCAAATTAAAACCACAGATAGATAATACTTATTAGATAAAACTAAACAAATATTTACAATGACAAATACTTGCTGGGATGTGGAACAACTGAAATTCTCGTGCATTGCTCATGTGAATTCAAGATGACAGAACCACACTGGAAAGCAATTTGAAACTTTTGTACATTTCTTAAGAATACATTTACTATACAACTTAATAACCCATTCCCTAGATATGTACCCAAGAATGGTTCATCTGTGTATATACAGAAGACTTGTAGTCAAATTTCTATACTAGTTTTATTCATAAAAGACCAAAGTAAAAGCGATCTATACGTCCATTAACTGATGAATAAATTTTTAAAAAGTTGTACTATGTCCTTGTAGGAGATCATCACTCAGCAACAAAAGGAAATAAAGTACTGATCTATATAACAACATGGGTGGCTCTCAAAAAAAAATATTCTACATGAAAGAAGCTTTCATTGATAGAAAATGGTAAAGCTAGAACAAAACTAAGAAACAAATGAAAAACAACATCAATACAGAAGCTAGAGCCACAGAAGACAAAGAGGTATTTGGGCACTCTCTTGGGTGACAGAAATGATCTATATCCTGACTGTGGTACTAATTAGATGATTATGTTTCTGAAATCTCATTCAACTTGTACACTTAACCTCAGTGAAATTTATGGTATTTAAATAATGTTTCGATAACTCCATATAAAAATGACCCAAGCTAAATATGTGTGGCGCCCAGTGCTTCAGCTATTAGTGAAGACCCTTCCCCAAGATTCCACAGGTTAATAAGGTTCATCATTATCACCCAGATGCTCAGACTATGAGCCTGCAAAGTCCTCCTTGACTCATTTGTCTTTTTTATCCCCTATATCCAATGCCATACAATCACGGATGTTTTAGCTTCTAAATTCCTTAACAAGTAACATGTGTAGCAATAATGCAACACAGCCTGCTGTCACTAACCTGCCTTCTGCTTCTGCTTTGTTTCCCATCTTTTCTCTATAGCCAGGGGATCATGTTAAATGAAAATCATATCATTTGGTTAAAGTCCTTCCATGACATTCTAGTGCTCTTAGGACAAAATTCGAACTCTGTAACAAAACATAAAGGTTCTCTGTGACTCAAGTCTTCTCATCTCCTCAATAGCATTGCATGGTGCTCTTCCCTGGTGGACTTGTCTGGATTCTGACAGTACCATGGCTTTTCCTCACTCAGGACTGTACAAGCAATGGTTGGGATCACGTCGCCTCCCGTCTGTACATTAACTGAACTCCTGCTTTGCACATTGCTTTCTTGTTTCCTTTCTGAAACACCATGAACACCACTTGTTACTGATCTCTGCCATTGTAGCACCCGGTGTTTCTAGTCATTGTCTTCACAGGTCTAGTGTTTATAACTTTCAGTTGAATATCTGACCATCTGCCATCCTAAAATTCTGTTCTCTAGGAAAAACAAAATCACTCTTTGGCTAGTGCTTTCCAGATTATTGTGAAACAAAAACATATTAACAAAAATCAGTGTAATACTATATGACAAACACAATTAAAACATGAATATACCTGTGTTCCTACCCCTTCCCTTCTCCCGCTCTCCCTTACTCCCTAAGGGACATATAAGTGCCTCTGCTAAAGCACCTGGGCCAAGTACTTGACTAGTAACATGAAAATCTTTCAAAAGCCTATAGCGCAGGGCCGGGGATTTAGCTCAGTGGTTCTGGTGACTGCCTTGCAAACTCAAGGACATGAGTTCCATCCCAGTACCAAAAAAAACAAATAAACAAAAACAAAAAGCACTATAGAGTGCAGAGAGCGGTTTTCTTAGGGGGGAAAAAAAGGAAGGAAGAAAGGAAGGAAGGAAAAAGAAAGAAAATAGACTGTGAAAACCATGTTTTAAATTTCATTGAAGTTTTTTTTAGAAAAATAATGATGGGCAGACTTTAAAAAAATTAATGATTACAGTTTATTACAAAGATTTTTATGTTATTTTCAGAATTTTACCCATAAAATTTTTTAATCTTATATTATTTTGGGGGACTAGGGAGCACATCAGACTTGTGTTTCATGTCTATGTGTAGCACAGGACTTTTAGGTCACATATAAAACTCCATCCAGGAATTGATTCTCCATTTATAAATACTTTAAGATTAAATGAATAGTAATAAAGGCTGAGATTAAAATCTAAGAATGAGAATTCTCAATCTTCAAGACAGTAGAGTATGTTCTAATAAAGTTTTTCTTCTTCATGAACATAAAACCACGGTTATCTTTTCACATACCAGTGAAATCTTATAAGCGGGAATTTCTTGGCCAATGAATTTCCTGGTCATTTACAGACATTTTGGGGCTCCAGTTAAAAAATTAAGAATTTCCAAAGCCAATTCCTTCCAGCTTGAATTTGCATTCTTTGAAGGAGCACCCCACTAGTGCTGATGATCACTGAAAAGATGGTTATTCTGAAGACTGAAAACCACTATTCTGGCACAACACTAAGCATTCTTGTGGACTACGTATGTTAGTACATTTTCTCCCAGTTAGTCGGTGTCATTTCAGCAGCATTTGCAGTGAGTTGTGGACTTTCCCAAGTGTGCCATATAAGGCTCACTTAGGAAAGAAACTGACTTATGAGCAATTCCCCCAAAATAACTCATTCAGAAGTCAGGGACTTACATTATCAGATCCTAGACACAGTGCCCTAGGCTGCTAAATGTTCAGTAAATTGTATTGAATAATTGAACAAATGAATCAAAGGTAGTTTCACCTATATTCAGGTCACCTTCCTTCCAGATTAGGGAGAATGACTCAGATGAGACTAAGACAGACATTTTATGTTTATAGTTCTACGATTTTTTTAATTCTAAGTATTAGAAATATGTGTGTGTGTGAGAAAGAGAGAGGTGAAAAGTTTTTAGAATTATACTAAGAAAAAAAGCCTCCATCAGCAAAACATGGCTGGAAAGCCATTTCCTTTAGCCTTTAGGTGGGAAGATAATCATTGCATTAAAATGGAAATAGAATTTCAAATCAATGAGTTGCTGTGAACATTGGCTCTGTAGAGGTTTTGGTGACCCCTTTGCCAGCGTGTTATGGAGGAGATCACACAGCTGAGAATCTTTCTGACCTGGGGTGGGGTGTAGGAGGCTCAGCAATGATTTTCTCTAAAGTAAACAAAAATCCAGATGTTCATTGTCCTTTTCCACCACTTTTGGGACTCAAGGCCTAGGTTTAGCTAATAGCTAACCTCCACAGCTGGCAAATCCAGGACAGAAGGTGCAAACAGGTCCACTTTAGACTTCCTTTTAACAGCACTCCTCAGTGGCTGTGAAGATTTGTTCGGCATCCTGGGCCAACTGAACAAGAAAACCAGCTATTCCTGTGCTAGGGTTCTGGCTTCAGCGCCACCTTCCTGTGGTTTCTACTTTTCAGAATTTGGTGGTTTAGCCTTTTTTCAATTCTTTATGCTGCATAATGACAGCATTTCGTTAAATTTTCTGTTAAAAAAAACAACAACAACAGCAGAGTTCATGTAGAGAGCACACGTCAATGCACAGGATGCTGAGAACATAACGCCTCCCAAATAGGGTACAATGTCAGTGTGTTCCCAAGAGTGGTGAGTGAAACCCACCAAGAGTGACAATGTGGGAAACCTGTCCTGTAAGAGTGACATCTAACCCAACAGATCGCCCTGTGATGCGTGTAACCCCGTTATCTAAATTCAAGGTGTGGAACCCTATGACAGGTGCAGCCCCAATATCTACTCAAACAGCCCCGATACGTGTGAAGTGTTAAAACCCGAACCAGTGCCACAGACCCCCAGTTAGGATGGTATAAAAGAGAGAGCACAGAAGACCAGCTCATCCCACTCGGTCACCGATGCAGCTCTACGGCGACCTCCGGACGAGATCTAGGCACGGACCTCGGTGGAGACATACCACGCCTACCCGGTGTGGATCCCCGGATTGAGGAGGAGGCAGCCGAATCGACAACCGCAATCACCAGGAAAAGAGAAACAAAGTCGCGCTCCTCGGACTTGTGCAGGTACAGGGAGTGGCAACTGGTGGGTATGAATGAACATGTTGGATGTGTGACAGATATAAAATATATAAAAGTCTAGTTGGCAGCTCTACTGTCTCGACCTCCAGTTAGTGCACACTCCGGCTCGCGACAGTCCAGTTCTGTGTTTACAACCTAAGGACCATAACCTAAATTGCTGTCAGGGAGCAGGCTCCAGTCAAGGGGAATGCAGAAAAATTCAGTGACTCGTGCAGAGTTGGTGATGAACATCCTGTTAATATACTTTGGTGGGACTCTGTCAGCCTATGACAGGTAACAAGAATTTTCTTTAAATTACTGTGTATGGTATCTGAAATGATATGCACTGAAAGCAGAATTTTTCTGTGACCATATATTTGCTGTGTGGAAGTTAAGATTTACTTATTTCTAACAATTCTACACAAAGCCAATGACAAGCCTACATTATAGACTTCTGAGCTCAGGGCTTGTCCTGAAAGTCAGGTCTTTCTATGAGTGGAATACAGAATCTCCATACTCTATTCAGTCCAGAACTCCTTTGGTGTATCGGTAAAGAAAAACAATCACAGGATAGGCGACTGGAATGCTAAAGGGATTGGTCAAGTAAATATTGTGTACCTCCAAGAGTCCTGCAAGAAGCTCCTTTCACCTAGGCCTTGAGGAACACGGGAAAGGGTTCCCTAAGCTTCATGCATCCAACAGTGAGGTTTCTGGTACCTGGATAATGGGACTGTACAGTACCTGCCTTACTGTTAGGAGAAAGGGTCTGGGGAGAAGAGGTGGGTCACAGGGTCCCTCTTCAGCTTCTCCCTCCTCTCTCTGCTCCCTGGCTACCTTGAAACCATGTGTTTATCTCTGCTAGACTCTTCTACCTGCTGCTTCTTTTGTGTTGGAGGCTTCCAACCATGGACTAAAACTTCTGAAACTGTGAGCAAAAATTAACTTCCTCTTTAGATTGTGGGTGTCTGGTATTTTGTCCCAGCAAGGAACATAGTGACTAAGATACTGGGGAAGTAAGGCCTGACACCCAAGCAAAGTGTCCTGGAGTGCAGTGATTTAGGGCAAGTCAGGACTTCTCTTTCAAAACAGAAACATAACTTTTTGTAACTCATGTTCCAACTTGAACTAGTTTTGGAGAAAACACACACTTCATGTGTATTAGTTTTTCCAACCCAGTTATTAGATAATTCAAAGGTTGTACAGTTTGGGTACAGCTCAGAGCCATTGATTTCTCCAATTGCTCATAATGGAGTGCAAATAACTCTGCTGCTCCACTGTGTAGGAGGCTCGAGGGATTAGGAGGAGCATGAGGCATATGTGTATTATTTCAGCCGTGGATGAGGCAAAGCATGATCAAAGAACTGAACTGAAGGCCCCAAAATTTGGAAAGATTACTGTGCTCTCTTAGACAAATAACTATTCCGTGCTTTAAAGAAATGAGTTCTTGATTTCTTCTAGGCCATGAATGAGTCTGAATACATAACTATGGAACAGCTGCCAGCAGACTGAGCTGCAAGTCATGAATTGAAAGTCATTCATTCTATGCTAGAACATACACGCCATCAAGGACAGAGCCTTGCACAGATTCTGGAATGATACCTGGTACTGTAAGAGTTGCTTAGTAAGTATTTGCTGATATCTCAAACCATACACAGCATATATCCTAAAGAAGAAAGGAAGAAGGTAGGATGGAAAAGAGGAAAGAAAGTAAGAGGGTAAGAAAAAGAAATGTAGGTAAGCATATCCAGAAGCACTTTCTCATCAGATACAATCTGTACACCTCAGACCACATTTCAGCAAGTCTTAATGGTGCTCTGTTTCATAAAATAGTACAGCCTTATTACTGCCTGTAGTTTCTCCCTCAGACTTTACTCATTAATGGAAAGTTCTCCAAGATAAGCTAAACGAAGAGAAATAAATTCAGCCCTGGCTTATAGGTTTCTCTGTCAAATCTTTGGACACCAACCAAACATGAATGGATTCTCCCAAGGAGAATCCTGAAGGGTGATGGCTGAGTGGAAAACGCTACATCTTTTTTTGTCCACCTGGCTAGAAAGGGGGGTGACATAAAGAAAATTTACACGGTGCCCAATGAACAGTGGTTAAGGGTCTGCCATGGTTGTAAGAAATTCAGACGGAACCTGATTGTAGGATTGGTGAGAAAGAAGCCTGTATAAAAATTACACACATGGATTTCTTGAATGAATCCACAACAGAAGACACTTGTGTTCTATGTGAATGCTCCTCAGAGCATATCCTCTGTGACACAAGTGCTCACGCCCAGGTCCTACAAAACAGCTCTGTCGACTTCTTCACCTGTCTCTTTCTCATAACTTTATCCTTGATTAACAAGAGTTGGATCAAAATGCACGGAGGTGTTTCAGAA